AGCAAACCCGCACCGGATGTCTATGAAGCGAGACCACTATCACTATGCCACGTCGGCACTTGATATGTAGGCGACGAGTTCGCATATCCAAATAATACTACTGTCAAGCAAATTTTCAATCCCCATAACTTTTTGAGGAAAGCCATTTAGCAGTTTTAATTTCCCTTTTCGTAAATAGCATTCAAAGGTCTATCGATTTATCTGGGTCTCCATTCAAGGTCCCACGGTAAGTAGACTACCCCTCCCTGGTAAGTTAGCGCTTTATTTAGATAGACATGATTAGCGCTGCATGCTAGAAACCAAAAGTTTCAAACCTATCGATCACTTGAGAGGCTTCGATGCTGTTCATGAACAATCTATTCCTCACAAAGCTTTACCGCATCCTACTGAGCTAATTATATGTAGTACCAAAGAAAAATTCGCTTCCTACCATGTGTAAAGTTACGGTTCGATTTTAGTATATGACCAACAGTTGGGGGCGGAATACGGTCTGCAACTCCAATGTACTGTAATGTAAAGTTCTGAATATTGATCAGAAGACATGGTCATAGCATTCCTGTACGATCGTACATTGGAGTTGCAGACCAGTCTTTCATTAGTCATAATAGGTTTGGTATCTTCTCCCCGAACGTGTCGCAGCGTGTCGCGCTCGCCGCACTCGATCGCGCGCTATGAAGGGAAATATTTATCTGAACTCCCAGTGGACGGATGCGGCAGTCGCCGCGGAACCATTGCCGCTGGCCGTGTGATTTCGGGGAGAACTTCTGCCATCAAGTTATAAGCACCTGCTCAGATTATTAGCCCACGAAACCTTGCTCTCTCTTCTTTACAGTACCCTCAAGTTGGTAACCCTCCAACCCATGATCCTTGCTTCACACCTGCTCGTGTGATATACGAGTATGGATATATGCTTAGAGAGCACCTGAGCAAAAAATGGAATCGCATAACAGCACTAGTCCTCCCTCTCCCCGCAGGAAGCTATGTGATAGTTCCAACAAGCCAACGGGGTTGTTTAGGTAGTGATGAGTTTTTGTCACAGATATGCGCCCACAACCTAGATATTTTCTGGGTTCTAATTGGGACTGTTATCGAAACATTTGTTTTGCGACAAACAAACTCGAATTTAATACGCAAAAAAACTGACCTGATGGTTATCAAGAATGGCAAGAAAGACATGCAAGGAGATACTATATTAGCCAGAGCAATACCATAATGATATGTCGCCTAAAACAATAACACTTAGTAAGTATTTCTTTTTCTTCTATGCTGCTCTGCTGTACACGTTTGTTATGGTTGAACTGGTTTGTTGGTCAACTTTTCGAACAGATCGTCGTCAAAGACCTAAAACATAGATCAGGAGCTTTGAACTATTTTCAGGCACTTCAAGACGACGATTTGCTCGGAACGTCGACCAGTAAAAAGGTTCAGCCCATAACAGACCTCTATAGCAGAGCAGTATAGAACATTAGGTAAGGTGCAGAGGTTTCAAGAAGAGCGAACACAGAACTTATTTCTTCTTGGTTATGAAGTTACGGTTGTCGTCATCAACTGGGTGGCAATACTTATGTACATACATAATGTGCATGCATTAGCGTAATGATTATCATAGCTGTATGAACGTCATGAGCGCGATTTAGTTACTCGTATGAGAAACCGCAAACATTCGAAACCTTCAGCTGCATTCACTTCTGACTCTTGGGGATAGCTCAGTGCTTATGCGTTCCACTTTCACCTACAGCTTATTTGTTGCTACTACCATATTACTGTTGCAAACTTGCGCAAAATTATTAAAAGTCGTACCAGCATCGCAATGCAGATATCAGATAGTGAAACATTACCTGAGAGTAAGGAAGAGCTGCGTAGCATTGCACGCTTGGAATAACACCATTCATTTGTGCGTTCACTAATGCGGTGGCCATGAGAACCACAATGTAGGAGCCTCCTCTGATGCTCGATGGATCTGATGCTGGCTCTTTCACGACTACCTTAACCTTTAAACATCTTCCCGATTCACCTATGAGAATAGCGTATGGCAAAAATGAGACTACTCACATCTGAACCATCTTCTTTTACTTCTCCCGTAAGTCGAACACCCTCTGCCGATTTTGAATTTGATCTCAGTGGAGTGGCTTCATGTGCACCATTGCTTGCGTTTTTCAGCGCGATGCTTAAGTAGAATTTACTAGGGTACAGTATAGAGAAGTGAATAATCCACATACTTTTTTCGCTCATCTTTTTCGTCTCTTCTTGATAGGATCACGAAGGAAACCGTTGCTGCTGTGGTCCAACAAAAAATAACAAAGAAGAAGAAAGAAGAGCTGAATTGTGGTGGGAAGTAACGTGGTACAGCACCTTCGCATTCATACTTTCCAACACCTAAAACAGCACTAACAATCGGATTTTATGAAGAATGAGAACATTGACCGTGCGAAAATAAGGTAACGGTGGGATATTCTATTTTATTCTTTCTATGACCTGTAAAATGTGAATATGGGGAACCAACCTTGAAGGAGAGTCAAAATACTAGGAACGAGTGAGCTAAAACCCATGCCTACAAAGTAGGCATTGAGGTAAGCATGGTGAAACTGTGCCATGAAAGGCATGAATAGTACGTTGGAAGTGGCATTGACGAGAGCTAATCCTAGTAGTAACAAGTAGAGAGCGACGGAATACTCCCGACTTCCAAACGGTACCGTCCACCACCACGCAAAAGCAAGACCTAGGAAACTGCTTATTATATCGAGGCGAATTCATAAATATATGTAGCTGCAAAACTTTTACGTCCCCGTTAAACTTACTAAGTTGACAAAAACAAGCCAATACGAGGAATGCAGTTATAAGCGGCACTCTTGGTACGGATACGGAATGACAGCATTTGTGCAGAATAGTGTAGACAAGAGGACCAATGCACGCAATCTGAAATTTGGTGAGTTACCATCGTAGTCTCAAATTAGAAACATAATTAGGAGAAAATCATTCTTATATAGAGTCGCGGTATGAGTACATCTCTATAAAAACTTAACTGATGTGAAACACTGCCCATTTTAGACTCAGGGAACAAAATAAAGGAAAGAATGTGCTCGCGCTAGGTAAGGAGGCCTCCCTATATAAAAACCTATCGCACCATTATGCGGAAGGTTTTTATATAGGGAGGCCTCCGTACCTACGATGACTCCGGATGAACTCTAGCCAAGCTGCGAGTCTTACAGTTGGTGCGAGGATTGACTATTGAGGATTGACTAATTGAGTTATTGTAGATGACTCATTGACCCTTTACATAGTAGCCTATCTGGCCTATCAGTTAGATTTTTTATGTGCTTGTTACGTAGGCTGCCTTTTATATTTTGAGATTTGGGAACAAAAACAAATATCATTTATTGGAAATCGCTTTATTGCCTTTCAAAATTCTCCACATTAAGATCTATACACTTTTGCATGGGCTCGAACCAATTTCCGAAGCACTTTTGCCACTCTGATGTAGGTAACTCTAAAACATGGACTCTGAGCGCATCAACGGCTTCTTCAGGTGTCGAAAAACGTTGACCTATCATTTTAGTTTTTACCTACGGGATGAGAAGAAGTCACCCGAGGACCTCATGGCTGATGACCTGTCTAATCGTTGTTTTGAGTGCTGAAAAATGCAGTTGTTTGAGCCGACGTGTGGGAGCTCGCATTGTCGTAGTGAAGAGTGATCCGTCATCAGCAGTTGGTTTTCCTGATTTTTGGAAGTCAACTGGCAAACAAATGGTGGTATACCACTCAGAATTGAATGTTCTGCTTGTTCTAGTGGTACGGTTGCGACATGTCCAGTTTTTCTAGAAAAAAAGGAGATCAACTGCTCGGAAGTGCTTGGTGCGCGGACAGCTCTTGATGAATTTGGCTCATCTTGAAATACCTATACGGTCGACTGCTGTTTCCTTTCGGGCTCATACGCATAAATCCATGATCCAATCTGTTTCAATGCTATAGACGTGTTTCGAAGCACCGCGATCGTATTTTTGAGCATTTCTTTCGACCAATCGACACGAGTCCCTTTTTTGGGGGATTGACAAATTTTTCAAAAACAATTTTTTACAGTCAAATGTTCAGGCAATATTGAATGTATGCTGGTCCCACCAATGCCTAAGGTTGTCCCAATCTCACGATAGGCCACATGACGGTCTTGCAATATTCGTTTGTGCACAGTGTCAACGGTTTCCGGAACATCAACTGGTTTTGGACGACCACCACGAAATTCTTCTTCGAGTGAACTACGACCTCGGGTGAACTCACTGTACCTTCGATAAACACTGGCCGTGGATGCAGCTTCATCACCAAAAGTTGAACTAAGTTCATCCATGCATTGCTGTTGAGTTAGCCCACATCGAAAGTTGCAGAAAATAATCGCGCGAAAATGCTCACGGTTCAACCCCATAAATTGGCCCAAACAAAATCTTATAACTTAGTGTAAACAACACAAAACGCGCTCAAATTTTGCAGAGGAACCTCAAAATAGTCAAACTTTACGATAGTGATGTCAGTTGCTAGATTGCTACACTACTGTTGCCAAATCTCAAAATATAGAAGGCAGCCCTCGTATAGTGTGGTCACAAATCGTTGGGATCCGTTCTGCTTCTAAAAGAGAAAAACATTTTTCGATGATTTCCATCACCAACTGAATCCCCATTCGCTACTGCATTAGAGAAAGTGACGCTGACCTGAACAACAGCAGCAAGGAAACTTGGTAGTCCCCATCCTTCAGGTAGATCTTGTGTAAGAAGTGGAAGCTGCACCCATACTGAATTTGTGCCCATCCAGGAGCTGGAGCCGAAAATGATCACCAGGACGAATAGAAGTTTCGAAACGGCCATCTGTAAGAAAAACGAATAGTACACTTTTATATACCGCCTAATCAAAGTGGGTGGAGCGTCTCGTAAGAGGTATTCAGAGGTGCACTTTGACATCACCACCTTTAGAAGGTACGATAAAGGTTTGAACGATTATCTGATATCATCTGACTGCGAACCACATCTTACGAAAGCAGTTATAGTTATAGTTAAGTACAATTGTAAATAAAGAATTCATGTTCTTTCACATTTCTTAAAAAGTAGGTATCAACTTTTGAAGTGGTACAATAATCACAACGTTCAAATCACAGCGGTTCCGCCTAAAACAAAGAGATCATGGTGAAAAACGAGGCTACAAAAGTATACTAATTCCAGTAAGCTATCATATGACGTTTGATGCTGTGAAAGAGATTAAAACGAAGAAACTCTCAGAAAAACTGTGCGATAAGGTCAGGCTTCCACGGGAGGTGTTAATTTGAATTTGGAAATTCTGAGAAGAGCATCGTGAACTACAGCTAGTTCTCTCTCCACCCTTCGGCCTCAATTGGGTCAATTCAAGCGCCTTCAGTCGTGATTGTCTGGAGAGAATCTGGGTACTCACCTCATTAGAAAGAATCTACAATTATACTTCCCTAGAGAAGAGATTTAGGTCATCATAACTGGGTCTGAGCTCTCATATCATCATAGACAACAATAAATAGCAACGGAGTTCACTGAAAACATAAACAGGTAGAATATGCAATACCCGCCAAACCAAATAGGAAAAACTACTCTCGTTTGCCTAGTTCTAGGACCTACATGGGAGCCCCAAAACACATCAACACATATAGGACCGACAAATGCAGTGCCAACGTTTCGATTTTACGCCATCGTCATCAAAAGGAACTAAAATAGCGGTGGCTTATGGAGGTAAGTGATTGATGTTTTGGTGAAGAGGCGTCACATGGGGAATAAGTGATAAGATACTTGCTAAGCAGACCGCTTGTACAGCAGTGTGGCGAGAAAGGGTCATTTGTGGCCATAAAAGGGGAATATTTGTGTCCCGAACTTGAAAAAGTTTATGTTTCACTGAAAATCAGTCGGATGGCAACATTTAGTGGCAGTCACATATCAAGCTGTGGTAGATTTCGCATAAAGTGCTCCCATATGCCGCTGACAAAACGTTGAAACGGAAGGGTGAGTCACTCGAAGTAGAAGATTACTGGTACTCTCATAGCAGATGTGACTGCTGGCTAGCAAATGGTCCTATGGAAACATGAAGCAGTGACCTTACGATCATGAATAATGACCCTCCAGCTAATAGAGTCATGCTGCCTGAGAAATTGAAAGCCAGCCAACTTTAAAACCCCAACAGCAACTTCATTCCACCTTACTCCTATAATTGGGCAGAAGGTAGGAGAGCTGAGCGTTCCTGGTTGTTAGATCATTTTCGGTTACTCTATAACATGCTTCAAAACTACAACTAAAGAGATCGGGTTTATAAAAATGCCGTTGCTAGGGGATCGTTAGGCTGTGTCGCAGCTACGATGAACTATCAAGCAACGGCGACGACAACAAAACGTCATGAGAAAAGAAGAAAAACAAACCAATATTGATTGACATGCTAGATCCTTGTCTTTCCATTCAATGTAGGTTGGTTTATCTTGAGTCGTGGACCCAGTGACAACATAGGAAACAAACCAAAGATAACCAGGACATTGAAGAAGAAACAAGTGGTAGAGAAGAACTGAACGCGCACTTTTTACCGTTCTTTACTTTTGTTTAACGTGCTCCTTTCGCAGTAAATATATCACTTTGAAAGAAAAGGTTGAACAATTTCATTGAATGCGATTACTAAAACTACACGAGAAGGAATGGGCCTCCATGATCCAAGTTTACGATTTAGGACTGAGAATGTGATCATTCCTTATAACTTCCCTTTTCTCAAAGTAATTGAGGAAAATAGGTGAGAAAGATAAGGCAGTTTTTAAAAAAAACTTACTTGTACCAGAGAGGTGAGGCTGTTATGTCTTTTCAAGTGTTAGACAATGATTCCTTGGTTAGCATCCGTTCTTCGGCCTCAATCCGTAAGGGTTTCCCAGTTCATGATTATCTGTAATTTTTTTCAATTTGAGCTCTCATAAGCTCAAAAGGTAAAGGAAGTGGCAGACACCAATTGGTTTACTCCCGTATAGATTTTCCCACGCTTGGGCGGTGCAGTGACGTCAAGAGGACAACTGGCATGGAGGGCGAGGCCTTGGGTGGGATACTCTTTGCATTTGTGAATTCTTCTTCCTGGTTTTCGAGAAAATTACTCATCGATCGTGGTTGCTTCCTGTATAATCCGGTATGAGAGAAATACATTGAGTTGTGTTCCTTGAATGGGTATCACATTTTGAGGAATTTCCGCTTCACAGGATGGTTATTTGCTTTATTCTTTAGCTTTACTGCGGTATTTTAGTTAAAACGGCTTTCTTTATGATTATTTTCTAACAGAATGCTTCTTTTAACTATGCCTATCAAACATTTAGGAGGCGTAAGAAGCTCCACACCGATAATACACCATTGCCCACATAGTGATAGTTGTCCCCAACGGCGTTTTTTTTTTATTAAGACAGTCTTGTGCTTGTGATCCAAGTGCTTCTGCCACTTATATTCAGTACTTTCTGAGCCTTTACTTTAGAAACAGCGAGGTATGGTATGTTTATGTTGCTCACATATAAAAATTTACAGCACCTTTGAACTCCTTTCCGTGATGTTTTATTAAATAGATTATTCTCGTTGTCTGTTTCTTTAATTGATGTGCTTTTCGTTTTGGTACAAAAATATATGTACTTTTCACTCTAGGTAGTGTTAATGGCGGCAAGAATTCTGGAAGCCGCCAAGTGGACGGCTGAAACTGCCGTGGGAGCGGTAAAAGCTGTTGCGAACACCAAAGATCCTATTCCGAAAACGGATCTTCACCCTCGAATGCCTGCTCGACCCTGGACTGCTCAGGAATACGTAAGTAACTTCTTTTTTTGAATCTGTTCCCAGTTTCTGAGCTTTTTTTCATATTATTTTCCGCTTTTGGAGCCTAGTAGAGTTCCTCTTTAATTTAAAGAGAGCTGTTTATACAAAAGTCACATTTTTCTGGACGAGCACCATGTAAAAACAGTAGATTTTCGCTTACTTCACTGACTAATGAATAATCCTTTCTATTTTAGTTGCGCATGTGGTCATGGCGCCATTGCTGGAAATATATACCCGTCTTCCGCTTCTACATCTATTCTGGGATCATTCTGTTTGCAGTTTTCAAATTTGTAGTACCAAGTGAGTGGAACGTTCGTCCGTGTTAAACCCCAATTTCAACCTCTCAGGTTGTTCGAAAAGTATCTGCCACAAAATTTGCATGATCCACATCTTTTGGGAGGTTTTAACGGTTGAATCTGTACATTGCCGTTGAGGTCCATTGGAACATGTGTAAAGCAGTATTTGGTCTCTAAGCCACTTCCAGGCGGTTCAGTGCAGGCCTTGGCCCAACGCTTAGAAACTCTCAAGAGGAGCGAAATTCCCGAATAGGTCATGAGGGTTCAAGTACGTAGTGCCCTTTTATAGTGTTTCTATGGAAATCTTCAGAACATTGCAGAGAAACTTGGACTCTAATCAAATTTTCGGCAGGTACTTCCTAAGCACCTAATAACTAATGATGGTTTACAATTGTTTTTTAGCTAAATAGAATCTATTTGGTAGTCGCTAGTTTTAGCATGAACGTTGCTTCCAACCATTGGCCAAAGAGTCCACTCAAAATTTGCTGCGAGGCTGAGGGTAACTTACAATTACTCATAGATAATTGCTTTGGAGATAAACCGGTAACTAATGAGAAGTGCTTTATGAGAGGTAGCGGTTTTCCCTATATGCGTTGCGTTTGCGGCTTGGTATAATATAGCATAGTGTTGCTATACCTGCAAAGTATCAGCAGTTATCTTCTCTTGCGTTTGACTATTTCCATATTTTCAGTCAAGCCTCGTCATCGCATCATGTACCATAAAGGAAAGGCTGATTCTCACCACCACGAGGTGAGCACGATTATTTATGCTATTTCACTCCATTTTTGTTTTGGTTTTGCCATGTTTCGCTATTGTTCTTAATTGCCCACTAATCGTAGCAAACCATGATCATGATTTCTTAGTACGCTAATAATGATTTGCTAAAATATGACCGTCACTGTTGCGTTGACGAGGACATAAATTACTTGGGCATGGTACTTTGTACACTTAGTTAAACTAACTNNNCAGGAATACGTGAGTAACTTCTTTTTTTGAATTTGTTTCCAGTTTCTGAGGATTTTTTTATCCTATTTTCTCCTTTTGGAGCCTAATGGAGTTTCTCTCTCATTTGAAAATATCTGTTTATACAGAAGTCACATATTTCTGGACGAGCACTATGTAAAAAAGTAGTAGATCTTCGCTTTCTTTATTAATTTATGGATAATCATTTCCATTTTAGCTGCGCATGTGGTCGTGGCGCCATTGCTGGAAATATATACCCGTCTTCCGCTT